GAGGGGTGGGGGGTGGGGAGATTGAGGCCCAGGAAATTCAGTCATTTACCTGTAGTCACAGAGTTTACCTCATCAACTGTAAGGGCAGGGTTAGAATTGATGTTTTCCTGGTTTTGAAGGCCCTGTTCTTTCCAGAATATCAATCGATCTAGTACCAAGGACCCAAAAATGACAGCAGAAGACCAAAGGGCACTTCAGCTTGGCATGCCATGAAGATCATGATAGAGAAGCACTTTCTATGCCTTATTTTACCTAATTCTCCCTCATCCACACTTCAGGATGTTTTTGGTATATGATGCCCATTTTGCAGATGAAGAAACTAAGTTTCAAGGATATTGTCCAGTAGCTTACCCAGAGTCACAGAGTGAGAAAGTCTGACTTGAATTTAGGAGTTTGGCTTCATGGTCTATGACCTTAACTGTTACATTGTCACTATAACCGGCTGGTTTTGTGTGTCGACTTGACACAAGCTAGAGTCATCAGAGAGGAAGGAGCCTGGGCTGAGGAAATGCTTCCATGAGATCCAGCTGTGGGGCATTTTCTCAATTAGTGATCAATGGGGGAGGGCCCAGCCCATGGTGAGTGGTGCCATCCCTGGGCTGGTGGTCCAGGGTTCCATAAGAAGACAGGCTGAGCAAGCCAGGGGAAGCACATCAGTAAGCAGCATGCCTCCAAGGCCTCTGCATCAGCTCCTGCCTCCAGGTTTGCAGCCCTGCTTGAGTTCCTGTCCTGACTTCCTTCAATGATGGACAGAGCTGTGGAAATGTGAGCCAGATAAGGCCTTTCCTCCCCTGCCTGCTTTTTGGTCATGATGTTTTGTCATGGCAATAAGAAAACACACACACAAACACACACACACACACACAGAGAGAGAGAGAGAGAGAGAGAGAGAGAGAGAGAGAGAGAGAGAGAGAGAGAGACAGAGACAGAGACAGAGACAGAAAGACAGAGAGGGAAATGGGGAAGAGAGGGAGGAAGGAAGCAAGGAGGAGAGGGGAGAGGTAGGTAGACAGGAAATGAGCAAGGAAGGCCCTGTTGTCTCAAGTACTGGGAATTGTTACAGTGATTGTGTTTTGTTCTAGAACTTGTGCAGAATCAGCACCACGCACAGCTCTTGCTCTGCATTTCTTTTACTGACTCTCTCTGCCTGCTTAGAGTTTGCTGTGTGGGTATTTCCTGAAACTGAAGCAGATCCAGCCCAGGGGCATACTGGTCACATGATAAGGTCACATGACCAAGAGCAGGTCAATGACGGAATGATTACGTTGTTAAAGAGTTACACCCAGCGTCCACACCCTAGCAGACTGTTCTACCGTCTACTTGGAGTCCCCTGCATCTGGCAGGGAGCATGGATTAGTGTCAGGTATGGACCCGGCCCAGACTTCAAACAGGCATTTTTTAAAAACAGGCTTTTTTTTAAAAAAAAAAGGGCTCGTTCCTTGTCTTAACTCAACCCTTCCTTCCTTTCTCACCACATCTGTCCTGGTGCAGCTGCCCTGTGGACTTCTTACGGCAGCGGCCAGCGAAGAATGATCTAAAATGGAGTTGTACATGTCAAACATTGTGAGGGCTTTTGCGTTTCAGTTTTATTTGGGAGGAGTAGGTAACGACTGCACAATTGTTGAGAGTAAACTGTAGATGACACCCTGTCTTAACATCAAAAGGCTGGACATCCTGACTGGCTGGTGTGGCTGGCTTCCTGCATGGGGTCTGTGAAGTCTCAGTTTGCCTTAAAGCTTCTCAGGACTGAAAGTGTCCAGAGCGTAGAGTACCTATCACAGGAACCCCCCTCCACAGCTCCTCTTTCTGCAAGTCTCCCTTCTGAGGTGGTGCTCAGGCAGCATCAGATGGAGATGCTCACAGGCACTTGGCCTGTCTCCCACTCTACTCACAAGCACTGAAGGTTTCCCGACCACCTACTGAGCAAAAGCCAGACTCCTTAGCCAGTGCCGGTTCCAGAGCCAGGCTTGGATGTGTGCAGGCCCCACAGCATCCTAGAGTGCCTGACAGGACAGGCACCGTACCTATGTGCAGAATGGGTGCCTGAATGAATAGTTTCGTCTCCCTCTCTTCCTCCCAGCCCTTCCCCACCTCCTCTTCCATCTGGATCTACTCCTTTCTGTTTCTCATTAGAAAGCAATAGGCGCCTAAGAGATAATAATAAAATATAATAAACAAACCCAAAAACTATTGCATTGAAGTTGGGCCATACAAACCATCAGAAAGAAAAGAGCCCAAAAGAAGGTACAAGCATCAGAGACCCTCTTGATCCCACACTCAGGAACCCCATAAATGCACTAACCTGGAAGCCATACTATATACGCAGAGGACCTGGTACAGTCCCAGGCAGGTCCGCTGCTCGCTGCTTCAGTCTCTGTGAGTTCGTATGAGCTTGTTCATGCTGACTAGAGGGCCTCTTTTTCTTGGTGTCCTCCATCCCTCTGGCTCTTACACTGTTTCTGCCTCCTCTTCCATGGGGTTCCCTGAGCTCTAAGGGCAGGGATTTAATGGAGGCATCCCATTTAAGGTCTGAGTGTCCCAAGGTCTCTCACTCTCTGCATAATGCCTGGATGTGGGTCTCTGGATTTCTTACCAACTGCTGCAGGAGAAAGTTTCTCTGATGATGTCTGAGCACTGCATTGCTGACCTATGGTTATATCAGAATGTCATCAGGAGTAATTTTATTATTATTATTTTTAAGACCAGTAGTATTTGGTTTTACCCTAGGTCCCCAGGCTATGTAGTCTCTGGTTGTTGGTCACCCATGCAGTGTCTGGTATGAGTTCCAGCTCATGGCGTAGGCCTTAAGTAAGATCAGATCTTGGTTGGTTACTCCCACTGGCTCAGGTCTCCACTGCACGGGAGGATCTTCCAGGACAGACTGTAGATCAAAGGTTTTGTGGCTTGGGCAGTGTTTGTTTCTCCTTTGGAAGTGTGCACAGTACCTTCCCGTATCAGAGATGCTAGAATGTAGGGGTGAAGGTGCTATGCAGGCGCCAGCTGGACTTCTCCCTGTTCATTGAGCTGTGTAGCTGTTGTTTTCAGCAGTTTGGGGAAAGCAACCTAGAGTCTACCCAACAGCCTAATTATTTGGGGATTCCCATGGAACCCCTTTAGCCAACGACTCAATTATGTGCAACTCAATTCCAGTACTGGAAGCATTGGTGACAAGAATTGGCCAGCTAGGACTCCACTTCTCCCATTATTTGGTGATTTCACATAGATCACCTTTGTTCATATACGTTAGGAAGTTTCTACTGTATTAGATTTTCCAACTATCCCTCAAATGCCCCTTAATTTTAGCTGTATCTCCCTGGATTCCCTCCCTTAACCCATGCTCCCCCACCATCTAATCCCCCCATTTGAGCCCACTCATAATTATCTACCCTATTCCATTTCTATCTGTCCCTATCTGTCCCTTCTAGTCCTTTCCTTACTGTGAACCTACCCTCTGTGGCTCTACAGCCATCGCTTGGTCATCACTGACTTCAGAGCTAATGTCCTCATAGTAAGCAAACCCATACCGTCTTTGTCCTTCTGAGTCTATGATGCCTTACTCAAGATGATTTTTTTTCTAATCTCATCCATGTGCCTGCAAATTTTATGATGTCATTTTATTTAACAACTGAGTAGCACTCCACTGTATAAATGTACCACACTTTCTTTATCCATTCTTTTATGGAGGTACATCTAGGTTGTTTGCCATTTCTGGCTATTACAAATAGAGCAGCAAAGAACATGGTTGAGCAGGTGTCCCTATGTAGTATGAAGCATCCTTTGGGTACATGCCCAAGAGTGGTCTAGCTGCATCTTGAGGTAGATCAATTCCCAAATTCTTGAGAAACTGCCATGTTGATTTCCACAGTGGCATACATGTTTACATTTCCATCACATCAGAGGGCAAATTTCAAGAGTTAGTTTTCTCTGTCATGTGAGTCCTGAGGATTGAACCCAGGTCCTCTGGTCTTCCTTATCTCAATGGCCCAACCTGTTATTCTTCTGCCTGCTTCAGGGACTTTGTACATTTTGTTTCTTCTGCCAGGGACCTGTCCTTTCTTCCCTCTTTGCTGTGTTCACACCTGCCAACTCCTTAGTTGTCACTTCAATATCACTTCCTCTAAGATTCCTGACTCCCAAAATAAGTCAGAGTTTTCATTTCCTGTGGCACGTGTTGTGTGATTATGCACAACTGAGCTAAAAACTCCAGCCTTCCACAAGGATCTTGTGCCTGTACGGTATGGCTGGTGCCAGGCACATGCTACTTTACAAAGGGCTGGGAGGCAAATGATGATGGATAAATGTGAGCTCCCTCACGGGCTCCCCTTTGTGGAACCCCTGTGTGGTTCAAGTCGTCTGTGGGAAGCGCTTAGATGGCTCCTTAGAACATTGGGATAAGTGTGAAGTTCTACCCTGGGCCACTCAGTCCCTACGTGCTCCAGCTCTTCCGTGCCTCTGTCCTCCCCATCACAATGGCCTCCTAGGTCCTCCTCACTTTCCCAGCTCATTCCTGCCTTGGACTTTTACCCTCCAATGTCATCTTCTCAGACTAGCAGTTAGCATCCCTGCTACCTAAAACAATACCACAAGCCCCCATTATCTCATCCCATGTCTCTAAGTCACCACTCTTACGTCTTTGAGGTCCTTTCATTTGTCTGTTTGGGTCTGTCTCCACTGCAGGACACAGGTCCTTTGAGCCAGGACCTTCTCGGTCTTGTTCATCACTAGGTCTTTAGCCTAGCACAGAGTAGGCACTCCATCTATATTTGGTGAACATGGGAAGAAATAAGGGCAAACAAGGGGTAAGGCTGTCTTTGTGGCTCAGCCCCTTCCTGGATGGAACCCAGGGGCCCCTGGGCTAGGGCCTGTGGGGTTGCCATGGTAACCACTGACTGACCTGAGGAGCCCTTTGGAGAGGCCACAGCTGCTGCCTCCTAGGGTCCAGATTCTGTGTGTCCTCACCAATGTGGAGCCAAGAAAGAGAGAAGAGAGACTGGGAGGGAATGATCCAGAGCAAAGCATGGCCTGGTGCTGGAGGCTACACACAGAGGAGGCCCTGGCAACGCCATTCCACTGGTAATGACTTGGGCTCTGGGGAAGGGACCTCAACTCAAGTCCTCCTTGGCAGCCATTCGTGTGGCATATCAACCCTTTTATGTAGTGTTTTTACAGTTGTGGGTTCCTAAAATAAACCCCGGGCACAGTGTCCTGAAAGACCGCTTATACAGGGAACATGAATAACACCTTCTATTAAAAACCTGGTGACACTTTCTGTCAGGCAGTTTTTTCTCAGGTGTTGCATAAGACATTCCTGTCGGCACCAGAGCTCTGTGCTTTCCATTGTGCTTCCTAGGAAGCTGAGTTGCTTCTGAGCTGCGTACAGTTCCCAGGCTGGGCAGCCAGGTCTTTGCAAGCTGGTCCCAGGGCACTCAACACCTCTGTCCTACCAGGTCTTTGGGCCACAAATTGGTGAACTCTTCACCTTTTCCCAGAATCCACCCGGCCTTTCTCTACTGCATGCCCTTGTCTCTGACCACACTCCCCGTGCCTAAAATGCCTGACTTTCCTTTTCTGTCTGTCTGGTGTGAATCCTTGAAGGATCAGCCAAACTCAGCCAGGCCGAGATGGATCTGTCTTCCTTCCCACGGCCACAGCATCTCTGTAGATTCCTTGCTTCCTTGCCATGTGCCCTGGATCAGCATCCCAGCTTTGGAGTTAGAACCGACTCAGCTCAGCCACCTGCCGCCTGAGTTACTTTACCTGGATTCTCCCTGCCTGTCTTAGTTTCATTCCAGCAAATCAGAGCTAGTGGGTGCCCCGCCTTGGTTTCTCTGAGGAGAAGAGAGGAGGCATGTGACACAAGGTAACTGACGTGTGGCGAACTCAGTCACTGCCTCAGTTTGTCCCCCCACCCCCGACTTTCCTATTTTCCTATGACCCATGAGGCCAAATGGGTCAAGCACGTTGCCATTGCTATTTTAGGGCACCTTTGGAGAACCTTGGTAGGCAGGGATTCAGGAACCTGAGACCCACCCCCAATACCACATAGCTATGATTGGTGGTGCTGACACCTGAACTCAAGTGTCCTGACTAAATCTCATAGTCCACCAAGATCACGTCTGCCTTCTCTCCCACCTTGTCCTGACTGTAACACCCTCATGACACCATGTCAGCCATCTGGACCTTAAATGGAACATGCTGCTGCCTCCTTCTGATTCTTCAGAGGGCTTGTTCCCTCCCCGACTTCATCTTTGCTTAAATTCCTCATCTTCTGAGGCCTTTCTGGTGGACGGTCCCCCTATCTGTGATTTCAGTAACTGGTGTTTTGTTTTTTTCACTAGTCATCTCTGCCAACTGATTTCCAAACTATTCGTAGCTCTTGGGGACAAGATATTGAACGAAGCAAATAAGGTTGTTACATTTTAAGGGCGAGGAAAATAAATTCTAGAAAACAAATACGTAGGCTTTGAGACCCTAGGCCCCAGGGTTCTGGATGAATAATTTCTGTTAGAATTGTAAGAAAGGCACATGGTAGTTGTAAAATGAACATATAATGTAATCTCAGGTCTCCAAGAACATGTTCCCCAAGCTGTCATGAGGCTTTGGCTTTTAAGATTCATTTAAATCATCCTCCCGCACCCCCCAGTGTATCAACATGTGTTTGTGAAGCAGAATTCTAAGCTTGAGGTGCCTGGGACACGCTGGCTCCTGAGTGTGGTAACTTCCTGTTTCTTCCTCAGCCTCCTAGGAAATCAGTACTCTGTATGGTTCTGCTCAATCTCATCCTATAAGATGGAGAAAAGTCATGGAAACCAGGGTTTGTCAGTCTTTGAACCAAAGTGAAGAGGCAGGAAGGCCTGCCTGTAAGTAAAGCTGGTTAAGCTCCTGGGAAGTAAGACTCCTGGGCAGGCAGAGTCTCACCCTGCTTCCGGCTGTGAGCCCAGCTGTGCGGTGCAGCCAGTAGGTTGAACTCACAGCCATCCTCATGCCCTTTGCTACATTTGCCACAAGCTTGGCTTTCACTACAGGAAGTCATCAAGTGTGGGTGGCGAGCTCCTTCTTCTATATTGGAACAGTGCCAGTGTGGCCGCGCTGGTCACAGCTGGCCTTGCTTTGTAACTTTCACTTCAAGTTCTCATATCTATAAATAGAACCATCAAGTCATGGAGAGAACTCTGTTCTGAGGTTTAATTTAGACCAATGTATGACGATGTGTTCTTGGAAGACACTTGCCACATGGTACAAACTTCTTATTGCTGGGGTGGTGGGGAGCTGGCGGGAGAACACACCCAGTACTGTTTATTTAGTGTGTGCAACATCTCCAGGGCCAGGCATAGCAGACATCTGGGTTCAAGACAGAAAACAGAAGCTGGGAATGGTGGGTCATGCCTGAAATCCAGCATGTAGGAGGAGAGGCGGGAGGATTGAAATTTCTTAAGTTGGGGAAAAGCCTTTGATGTGCCATACTTTTCATAGACTTGACAATGAGGAAGATGAGAGAATCCCGAAGCTGTGTGGACAGGCCTGCTTATAGGCTATGCCTTCTTTGACATCTTAGGGCAGTAATGTAGCACTTATTGAGACCAGGCTGGGCGCTGTGTGCTTGATTCTAATGGAGAGTCCAAAGAAAGAACCAAATGCACTCCACTCCTGAGATGTTTGAGCTGCAAACTGAGGAGCCTGCTGCACGTGACAAAGGCTGACAAAGAAACAGGCAGGAGTATTCAGCAAAAATTATAATGTGTAGGTAGAGTTTTAGTGAAAGTTCTGACTAAAATCAGGTTTTGCTTGAGGTTGCAGCGCTGACGCTGTGTCTGGGTCACATATGGGAGGCAGGAGAAGGAGGCTCAGCTCACTCTTGGAGAATGAGGTCATGACCTTGGGGTGCTGGTGCTCTACCAACTGGGTGACTTTGACCAATCATCTAAGCTCTCTGAGTTTCATCCTTCTTACCTGTATTTCCGTTTCCTCTCTCCCTGACCACCTTGCCCTTCTCTTTTGAGGTTGAGTATGGATGTGTTTGCCAGAGGTTCCCTACCTTAATTTTTTGTTTTATTTTATTTTTTGGGTTTTCAAGGTAGGGTTTCTCTATGTAACACTGGCTGTCCTGGAACTTGCTCTTTAGACTAGGCTGGCCTTGAACTCAGGGATGTACCTGACTCTCACTACCAAGTGCTGAGATTAAAGGCTTATGCCACAGTGGCCCAGGCCCCAATTTTTGATACAGTGTCTCTCAGTAAACCTGGAGTTTGTCTATTTGTCTAGATTGGCTGGCCAGCGAGCCTCAGGGCTCTTCCTTTTCTTTGTCTCCCCAGCTCTGGGATGATAAGGGGTCACACCCAACTTCTTATGGGGGTGTTAGGAATGTGAACTCAGGGCCTCATGCTTTCTCAGAAAAGCACTTCACCTATGGAACTGATTCTCCAGCCCTAACACATGCCCCTTAACAACTCCTAGTTCATAGAGTTCTCGTGATGAGCCACATGCCAATTAGAACAGTCTGGAACACTTTGTTACTCAATTGCATGTGCTACAAAGGTAATGAGCTATAGAGGCTCATTAATATTCAGTATAGATGTCATTCTGGTTGAGCATGACAAACTCCACCCAGCCACATCCCAATCTGGACAGCAAAGTTTCTGGAAGCATGGGTACCCCGAGTGTTCAACCAGAGTCTGTACCCTTCGAGTTGACTCTGTTTGAGGTCATTGACTGTCAAGAAGAGGTTTAGAAGCCTGGATAGCAGCAAAGCAGGAGAAATTTCTTCCAAAAATCGCTGAAACAAGTGGGGACCTTGGACCAGAAAAATGGAGACATAGTAACTGTTTTCCCATCTCTGCCCAGTGTCAGAGACTGGATTCATTTGGGTGTTCCCTGGGACAGAGTGGAGAGCAGCTGGCTGCATACACAGTGTGTCTTGGAGTCAGAGGGAGGCATGGGTGTGCAACAGTAGGCAGAAGAGGATTCTCAGTCACATCTTGCTTCTCTTTGTCTCATGGTCCTCTTTACTGTCCCCTGTCCTTGGGCTGGGCTTTTATCTGTCTCCAGTGCTGGGACTGAGTCACAGCAGGCAGGAACAGGAGAGAAACATTTTTGCCTGACTCGGGACATGGTGGTCAGGGGCTGTGCCATTCTGGCCCATCTGGAGTTGAGAACAAGCTCCTCCTCCCTGGAATGTTGCCAAGTTTTCCAGAACCACCCCTCTTAGTGCAGAGGGTTCTCATGGCTGAACCAGGCCTTACCAAGGTTAACATGACTGGCTTGGGTACAGTCCAGAAAGGGACAGGAAGAATCTCATTGTTCCTCATCTCATGAAAAGAAGTGTGTGTGTGTGTGTGTGTGTGTGTGTGTGTGTTCCTTCAGAGACACGAGGACATTTTCAAGTTCCACCCCTCAGGCACTGTCCACTTTTTTTTTTGAGACAGAGTGTCTTACTGTCTTGAATGTCACATGGTAAATGAGGCTGCCTGGTCAGCAAGCCCCAGAGCTGTGTCTTCTCTTCCCCACCAGTGCCAGCATTATAAGTACACAGCACCTAGCTGGACTCAGGCTCTAGTGCTTGCCTTACTGAGCCATCTTCCCAGCTCCAGAGAGTGCTCATGGTGACGTGGTTTGATGGAAACAGATGCTGTGATGATCACTCATGGATGCTGCCATGGAACCATGTCAAGGCAGGAAGGGGTGAGGGAATCACAGTAGCAACATTCTGGAGAAATCTGGAAAGGGTTCTAGAGACCCACTTGCTTTGGGTTACAATGCAATAACAGACACCCACCTTGTTCATCCCAGCTTTGAAATGTTACAAGCTGCTGCCTTCCCCACTGTGCCTTTGAGCTTTGTGGTCCAAGATTTCAGCTCCTGCAGTCCTCAGGATTGCTCAGAAGCACCCGATTTCCATATCCTCTTAACAAGCTTGCCTTTGTTCCTCTCCTTGGATCTCTTCCCCCTACTTGTTTATAATTTTGGAAGCAGCTTGTAAAAGAACAGTTGATTGGGGCATCACTTAAAACAGAAGAGAATCTAGCACTTCTTGCTCTCACTTTGTTCCTACTTGGGGAAGCATGCATATCTGCCCGGCTTATACAGCCCATAAGTAACCTAAAGTTCTCACTGAAGATCCTTTCTCAGCCATCACTGAGTCTCCCTCTAAGTCCCAGCTGCTTTCTAGGAAAAATGGAGATTAAAATCCTCCCTTCTGAGGACAGTTTCAGGAAATGGAGGGAGATAATCTAGAAAGACCTAGCTTAATAAGATAGGAGATTCCCAACCCCCATATTGTGAGAGCAATGAAAGCCAGGGCTGGCGGTGCAAGCCTGCAATCCTAGCATGAGATGTGGAGGCAGGGGGATCACCAACATGAGTTACATAGTCACTTCAAGGACAAAATGGGCTACATTTTGAGATCTTCTGAACTGACTAGAAAAGAAGATGAAGAAAGTGGCCAGAGACTGTTGAGAACCACATGGCTCTGAACTCGGCCAGTCCTAGCCTAGAGCCACACACATTCCCAAGAACTGCCACAGTATATAAAAGTCACAGTGTAAAGAATACAGAACTTGCTGGGGCAATTGTTTAGGGAGTCAAGGCTCAAAAGCAGCCAATGACACATTAATAATAAAAAACAATGATAATAAAAAACAATAGCCCAGCTTGACTGTTAAAAAGTATGTAAGCACAAAGGCCTGAAGATCATTCTGGAAGCAGGTATCAGGATGTGAATTCCTGTCAGGTGCTAGAAGTGGGTCGTGCAGGCAGAAGGGACTTTCTTTGAGAATCCAGGATAGCTGGTAGATGTTTGAGGCAAGAGCACTTGCATGTTCTTTTGGACTCCGTTCAGAGGTTTGCAGTTTTCTCCCTTCATCTGATTGTTATTACAGAAGAAATGGAGTCCAAAGAAACACCAACATGGCCCCACACTCAAACCTGTCCCTCTGGTGTCACTCATAGTGGACTAGGTTGTGTCCAAAGGAGGTAACTGGTTGTATGTAGCTCATGTTGTTCAACAAATGATAGGATGAGTAGCAAGCTTCTAGAAAATGGACTAAGTGTTATGCTACATCACAAAATAGACTCTTAGTTAACTTTTGAAATTGGATAGAAATCTATAGTCCTTTAGATTTTGAAGGTGCTACATAGAGACTCTGGTACTTTTGGAAGAGTCCCCTTTGGGGAACACCTGACAGAAGGGGGTGATCTCTAGGGTCCCTGCCCCTCTCCACTTCAGATTCCTTTGGGTTTTGTTTTTATTTGAAGAAAAGAGTCTTCTACTGGCAGCTAAGTTTGGGAAACATCACCAATGGCAATCAAATTGTTTTGCAAATCACATCTCAGGAATGTATCTTCTGTGTAAAGGAAAGATGATCCTTTGTTGGTAGTACTAGGTTTTGAATGTTCCAGAATTGGTAGATTTTGACCAAGAAATCTTCAAGTGAGTCTGCAAATGGCCATGTGGCCTGCAAGCTACTTGGCAAACTTTCACCAGCCATGGTGCACACAGAGCTATACAGATAATCCATCTCTGGTCAGGGTGACATGGAGGAATGCTTATGGTCATGCACATCTAATGTATTTGCAATATTTCTCTCTCCTACAAACAGAAGCCCAGTGACTGACTGACTGACTGACTGGCTGATTGATTGATTGGTTATTTTTTTCTTCTGTAGAGAGCTGGATTGAAAGATGTCTCAATGAAAGCGAGAATAAACGCTATTCCAGCCACACATCTCTGGGGAATGTGTCTAATGATGAAAGTAAGTGCTTGACTCTCATTCCTTTATGACATCCCTGACCACGCTAGGGTCCTGATGGGAGGGGTGCAAGCCTTTACCCTAGCCTTGCTAGTTTCACCTGGAACAAGATACTCTCTAACCAGGAGTGTGCTGCAGAGAGAGTGGAGTCCAGTCACGTGGGCATGGAAATCTGGGTCAGGGCAAAGCCTCATTTGCTGTTTACATACCTGTCTTCCGCTGTGGCTCTTCTAGCCTGGTTCCCCACAGATCCCATCAGAGTAACGCTGTGATTGTGTAAACAGACCCCGAGGGGAAAACACTTTCAGTACCCACTGTTGATGTGCCTGTGTTGAAGGTTTACTGCTTTAGAACAACAAATTAATGCCCTTGCTTCTGGAAAGTAGAGATGTCTTCTTGACTTCAACTAGGAACTGGAGTTAAGTGTAGGATGTAAAACCCCACGTTTACACCGTTTCTTGTGCTGTGACAGGCCTCCTGAGTGCTTCACAGTTCAGAATTTATCTCCTCACCATTGGCACTAAAAGGGGGTGCAGCTCATTCTATCACCCCTGTGGATCAGAAGAATCTTTCTCCTCTGGGTGGGATGCAGTCTTAGCTCAGCTTTCTCGAAGCCTGAGCTGGGACCACGTGCCACCTGCCCCTTAGCACATTCCTTAAACTTTATCGTGCCTTTATTGTGTAGAGGTGGTTTCTTCCTATTCCTAATCCTCTGAGTTGGTTCTGCTTTGTTTTTGGTTTTTTTGAATCATAAAGTGTTTAATTCTACCATGTGTTTTCTTCTGTGCCAATTAATATGATTATTCGTGTTTCTCTTTCTCACGTTACCGTGGTATACTAATTACATTGACCTTTATGTTCTACTATCTTTGCGTGCAAGTAACTCCCCCAGCTTGGTCATTGTAGAGTGCTCTGTATTCTGCAGTTTTCATATGCTCTGTATTCTATTTGGCAGCTTTTTGTTGAGTGTCTTTGCATCAATACTCACAAGAGATGCTGGCCTGTAGTTTCTTTTTCCTTTGCAGCGTTTCTGTATGGCTTTAGTGCCATGGTGCAGATGGTTTCGACTTTGGCAATGTGCGTGCCTCTTCATTTTTTTTTTTTTTTAAGAAGACTGGTGATCTGAACATTCCCATGTCTTTGGTGGACTCGGGCACTCAAGTTTGCTCGGGTCGTCAGAGGACAAAGGCATAGACAGCCTTAGTAGATAGAGCCGTGCAGCTTTCCATGTAGCTTAGTTGATGTATACCCCCAGATGCGGCTGAGGCTTCTGGTGTCTCGCTTCCCTGCCAGCCTTTGTTGGAGCCATTCTTGTTCATCCTAGCTGTTCGCACAAGTGCATGTTGTTGTCATCACTGTGGCTTCAATCTTCATGTCTCTGATACCTCTTATCTCACCGTATGCTTACTGTTCCGAATCGTGCTCACGTTTTCCACCTGAGTGTCTTAAAAATAGTGTTGTCTTCTCTTTAATGGTATGTGAGTTGTACCTATAATCTAAGGGGGTTCACCAGGTAAAAGCAGCATACACATCTTCTCTCCATTTGTGGCTTGCCTACTCACTCTGTGTGTGTACACGTATGTGCACGCTTGCGCATATGTGCCTGCACGTGTTTATGGATGTCTACATATATGTATCGAGGCTAGAAGTCAACCTCTGGTGTTTTGAAGGAGCTGACCACCTTGGTTTTTGAGCCAGGGTCTTTCATTGGCCTAGAACTTGCCAGAGTAGGCTAGACTGGCTGGCCAGTAAGGCCCTGAGAGCCTCCTCTTTACCTCTCCAGCACTGGGATTACAAGTGCCCTCCCAACGCCTGGCTTCTCACATGGGTTCTGGGTCTCAAACTCACCCTCACACTTGCAAGGCAAGCTCTTTATTGCTGAGCCTTGTCCCAAGTCCCTTTTATTCTCTTAATGTTAATTTTGGATGAGTTAAACTTCCCAACTGTTGATATTTCTGTAACATTTAATCTAACATATATTTTGGATGTAAGTAGTTGGGGGTAGGTCACTCATGCGATAGCACACAGGTAGAAGCCTGGGGACAATGTGCAAGAGTTAATTTTATCCTTCTACCATGTGGGTTCCAAGGATGGAACACAAGATATCAGGCTTGGCAGCAAGGGCTTTAATTCACAGAGCCATGTCCACATCCTCCAGAAGTTCTTAAGTGTAACAAAGTCCAGCCTACAACTGCTTTCTCCAACAGTTACTGCTTTCTGAGTTAGGAAATTTGCTTACTCAAGGTCATGAAGATTTGTAGTTATCATATAGAATTTTATTCTTTTACCTTTACATTGGCAGACCATCTGAACTTTTTGTGTATAAGTTTAAAGGAAATAGCAAAGTTCTTTTTTTTTTTCATTAGTAATTTTCTTTTTTTTTTTTTTTCATTAGTAATTTTCAACAAACATCGGTCCATTTCTGGAAAAGAGCATCCATTGCCCACTGACAGGTTCCTTTGTTGGGAACTGAAGGTCATGTGTGCAGGGACCCAGGTCTGCAGTCTCTCTGTCTCTCTTACCACAGCACCTTTATAGGCAGTAGCGTCAGCTAACAAAGGCCTCATGGTATTTCTCTTTGATTTCATTTCTTTGGGGACAGAGTCTCACTGCTTAGGCAAGGCTGGTCTGGAATTCAATGTGTAACCCAGGCTGCAACACGCAAGCCTCTTGCATCTGCCTCTCCATGACCAAGATTATCCACAAGTGCCTCACCATGCCTCATATTTTTCTTCTTTATGATTATTCTGGGTAATCTGCATTCTTCCGTTGACACTTTTGAAACATTCTTACAAATCCATATGAACTTTAGAATCAGCTGGTAATTTTTTACGTCTAGAAGAAAAGCACCTACGAAGATTTTTAAAAATAGGGTTTCATGCAATCTACTACAAACGTTGGGGAGATGAGGCACTGTTAAGATGCCTCAGCGATTGAGATCATTTGCTATTTCTGGATGACCTGGACTCAGTTCCCGGAAACTGTAACTCCAGCTTTGGGGAGTCTGGTACACCTTCTGTCCTCCTCGAGCCCTGACAAATACATGGTACATAGACATACATGTGGGCATACGCACATGCACATAAAATAAAGATACGTAAATATACTTCCTGAATATCTTGGAAAACCAGCTGGGGATGGCAGCACACAGCTTAACTCCCAGCACTCAGGAGGCAGAGGCAGGTGGATCTCTTGAGTTCCAAGCCAGCCTGGTCTACAGAGTGAGTTCTAGGACAGCTGGGGATATACAGAGAAACCCTGTCTCAAAAAACAAACAAACAACAATAACAACAACGAAAAGTTTTGAAAAAACCAACCTCTTGACTTTTTAATCCGTGTGTGCAATATTTAATCTCTATATTTAGAACATTTTAATTTAAAATGATCATCATCTTTGGATTTATTCTTAGGCAACTAATGTTCTTTGGTGTTAGTATTAATATTTTTATAATTAGTACTCACTAGCACATCAGAGTGTAATTGTTTTATCGGGTACAGATAATTAGTTGACTTATAAGTTTGCTTTCGGGGGTTGTTCAAGATCAAACCCTGAGTCATGTGCATGCCAGGCAGGGACTCCTCTGCTGAGCCCTTGAGTTTTTGAGACACAGTCCTGTTATGTACTCAGGGTGACCTGAAACTTTGTATGCTCTTGCTCCCTCTTCTTGTGTCATGGACTTCATGACTGTATCTCTATGCCTGACCACACTGTCTGAATATTGTTTGTACATCACATCACCCAAGGATGGCAGTGCTTATTTCTCTTTTATTATCTCTACCTTTTAAAAAGATTATTTTATTACATTTATTTATACAAGTATTACTTTACTCCTTGCTTGTGTATGTATGTGTGTGTATGTATGTATGTGTGTGTATGTATGTATGCATGTATGTATGTAATGTATGCTCCAGTGTTACACAGTTGGCATGTGGAAGTCAGAGGACAAAATATTTTTTTTGGCCAGTGTCCTTTGCCTTACAGAAGTTTTGCAGTTTCATGAGGTCCCATTTATCAATTGTTAATCTTAGAGCCATTGGTGTTCTGTTCAGGAAGTTGTGTCCTGTACCAGTGCATTTCCACTTTCTCTTCTATGAGATTTAGTGCATCTGTTTTTATGTTGAGGGTACTTGATCCATTTGGACTTGAGTTTTGTGCAGGATGATAAATATGGATCTATTTGCATTCTTCTACATGCAGAGATCCAGTTAGACCTGCATCATTTGTTGAAAATGCCTTTCCCCCCATTGTATGGTTTTGGCTTCTTTATCGAAATCATCTGGCCATGGGTGTGTGGGTTTATTTCTGGGTCTTCGATTCAATTGCATTGATCAAAGTGACTCTGTGCCAACACCATGCGGAAGACAGCTTTCTGCTCTTTCCACCATGTGTGTCCTGAGGACTGAACCTAGGCTGTCAAGCTTGGAAAACCAGCGCCCTCACCAGCCCAATCCCAGCCCAACATTTTTGTGTTTTGCTTGTTTGTTTGTTTTTTCTCCTGTGCTGTGGTGCACTAGCTGGGCCCCAGAATGATGCCTACTTGAAGAGGTGAGCCAGGGCATCCTTGTGTTGCTCCCAGGCTGATCCATGGACGTTTTTAATGAGTCCATTCAAAGAGAATTCTTTGTGTGTGGATTTTTGTATCCTTTCTTTCAGACTGAGAAAACCCCTTCTTTCCCTAGCACACTAAGAGATTTCACTCCAACGATTGTTAAATTTCACCAAATACCTTTGTCTGCATCCATTGCAAAGATCACGTGTCTCTCTGCTTTTTTTCTGTTAGCACTGTAAATTACATTGATTACTGAATTTTTGCATTTCTTGAATAAACTACACTCGGTCAGAAGTGTCACCTTTTGGAGTATATATTTTTGGGTTATATTGACAACTATTCTTATACATCTCGCTGTTTCAGGTAACTTAATTCTAAAGTTGGAAGAATGGGTAATACCAGCAGTTCAAGTTTTGAGAATTAAGTGAATTAAATTGTGGAAAGACCTTGGAG